TAGGCAGATCACGAGGTCAGGAGTTCAAGACCAGCCTGACCTTGAGGTGAAACATGGTGAAACCCCGTCTCTACAAAAAATACAAAAATTTGCCAGGCGCGGTGGCAGGAACCTGTAATCCCAGCTACTCAGGAGGCTGAGGCAGGAGAATGGCTTGAACCCGGGAGGCGGAGGTTGCCCTGAGCGGAGATCACGCCATTGCACTCCAGCCTGGGTGACAGAGCGAGACTCCATCTCAATAAATAAATAAATAAAATTTAAAAAATAAAAAATAAATAGAAATAAAATAAAGTTTGAAGGTGACAATCTCTCCTTTATATGTTAAGACTTCTCTGACTGCCGTGTGCTGGTGTCCAAACAGGAGGTATCTCGGAGTCCAATCCTCCTGCTTGTGCCAAGTCATGTGCCCCACTCCTAGGCTCAAGCCATCCTCTCTCCTCAGCCTCCCAAGTAGCTAGCACTACAGGCACATGCTATTGTGCCTGGCTAATATTTTAATTTTTTGTAGAGACAGGGTCTCCCTGTGCTGCCCAGGCTGGTCTTGAGCTCCTAGGCTCAAGTGATCCTCCTGTCTCGGCCTCCCAAAGTGCTGGGATTACATGTGTGAGCCACCATGCTCAGCTAATAGTATGGATTTTGTGGGATCCTTGTGAGCATTCAATGAGAAGACGCTGGACCGTCCTGGAGCTACGTCTGGAGGGGCCGCTAACAGTGGGGCTGTGCCTGTACCTCGCCCCTTCTTGGCTGGGAGCAACTGGAGGAACGGCACCCGCCACACCTGCTACTGTCTCCCCAGACTCCGTGGCTCAGCTGTGAGCTGTGAGGGCCCTCTGGATTCTTGGATTTTCTCCACATTGTTACTGCTCAAATAGCTGGCCTTGCTGCTGGCAGAGAACAGACAGGGGATGAGGAGCTGATATTTGAGGAGGTAAATTTAAGCAGCAGGCTTACAATACGTTTTATGAGCTTGGCAGGTATAACTGAAGTGGGTGTTATCAGTAAATACAGCAATGGCATTGATCATTCTGGGCAAATAGCCTCGAGGGGCTTACAAAGCCTTGAAATGTTCCAACGAGGTCTCCATTTGGAGCCTACATAGTGCAGTATGCTGAATCTGGGGTCAAAAGATCTGCCATTCAGCCGGGCTGGTGGTGCACGGAAGATCGCCCGCCTCCAGCAGAAGCTATAATCCCAGCACTTTGGTAGGCTGAGGCAGGAGGATCCCTTGAGCCCAGGAGTTTGAGACCAGACTGGGCAACATAGTGAGATCCAGTCTCTACAAAAAGATAAATTAGCTGGGCTTGGTAGCACATGCCTGTAATCCCAGCTATTGGAGAGGCTGAGGTGGGAGGATCACTTGAGCCTGGGAGGTCAACACTGCAGTGAGCTGTGATTGTGCCATTGTACTCCAGCCTGGGTGACAGAGCGAGACCCTGTCTCAAAAGAAAATCAAAAAGACCTTCCTCTCATTAGCTGTATGACCATGGCCACGTTAATTAATGGAGCCCACTGTTTCCTTATCAACTGTTTCCCAAGCCCCTCAAGATTGTGTTGGCAAGAAGAAAATGCAACAGTAGACCAGGCATGGGGGCTCATGCCTATAATCCCAGCGCTTTGGGAAGCTGAGGCAGGCAGACCACTTGGGGTCAGGAGTTCGAGACCAGCCTGGCCAACATGGTGAAATTCAATCTCTACTAAAAATAGAGGTGGAGGGTGCAGTGAGCAGAGATCACGCCACTGCACTCCAACCTAGGCAAAAAGAGTGAGACTCCATCTCAAAACATAAAAAAGAAAACAGACAAATAAGAAGGGAAGGAAGGAAGGAAGAAAAAGAAAGACAGAAAGAAAGAGAAAAAAAGAAAGAGAGAGAGAAAGAAAGACAAGAAAGACAAGAAAGACGAAAGAAAGAAAGAAAGAGAGAGAGAGAAAGAAAGAAAGAAAGAAAGAAAGAAAGAAAGAAAGAAAGAAAGAAAGAGAGAGACAATGGCCAGGAGAAGCTTTGTAAGTGATGAAGTGCTGAGCTTCTGTGAGGAGATGGTGATGATGATGTAGTATGAGTTCTAGAATCAGAGGCTGGGTGATTTCTGGCAAGTTGCCTAACCTCTCTGAGCCTCTTATCTGTAAGATGAAGATAAAAGCAATATCAGTCTTATTAAGAAGATTACATGTGGTATATTGAGTTGAATAGTGTTCCCCAAAATTTATATCCACCTGGAACCCTGGGAATATGACCTTATTTGGAACTAGGGCCTTTGCAGAGGTATGCAGAGGTCATACTGGATTAGCGTAGGCCTTAAGTCCAATATGACTGGTGTACTTCTAAGAAGAGGGAGATTTGGACACAGAGACATAGATACACAGAGAAAACACCATGTGCAGATGGAAAAAGACTGCTGTGACATGCCCATAAGCCGAGGTGCACTGAAGACCACCCGCCTCCAGCAGAAGCTGGAAAAGGAAAAGAAGGATTCTCTCCTAGGCCTTCAGGAGGAGTGTGGCCCCGCCAACACCTTGAGTTTGGATTTCTGGCCTCTAGAGCTGTAAAAGAATACAGTCCTTTTTCTTTTACTTTTCTTTCTTCTTTTTTATTTTGATTTTATTTTTTATTTTTTGAGACAGAGTCTCTCTCTGTCACCCAGGCTGGAGTGCAATGGTGCGATCTCAGTTTATTGCAACCACTACCTCCTGGGTTCGAGCAATTCTCCTGCCTCAGCCTCCTGAGTAGCTGGGACTACAGGCTCCTACCCCCACACCCGGCTAATTTTTATATTTTTAGTAGAGACAGGGTTTCGCCATGTTGGCCAGGCTGCTCTCCAACTCCTGACCTCAGGTGATCTGTCCGCCTCGGCCTCCCAAAGTGCTGGGATTACAGGCGTAAGCCACCGCGCCTGGCCAAGAGAATACGTTTCTGTTGTTTTAAGTCATGCAGTTTGTGGCAGTTTGCTACGGCAGCCCCAGGAAATGAATGCATGTGATAATCCAGAAAAAGCGCTCCATGCCATGGTGCCCGGCATGTAGTGAGTGCGAGGGGTTAGCTGTGATTATTATTGTTCTCATTATTAGTATTATGGTTCAAGGTCGGTTGTGACGGCCACAGATTTGGTCATAGGGAGACCCCTCTAACCTCCCTGGCCTCAAGTCTTGCTGGGGGTGGGGAGGGGTGGGTTCCCTGGTCATGGTTTCCCATGAGCTCCTGCCCGGAATGGGTGGCTGTCCTTGTGGCAGTGGCTGACTTCCACGGATCCCTGACGGGAGGGTTCTGTTGAGGTTGGTGGGGGTGCCCTCTATGAGTCCTGGTTGTGGGGAGGGGTGGAGGCTGCTTGGTGTGGCAGCTGCCCAGGGCTGGTTTCTGGAGCACAGCTCAGCAGATGCCTCAGGAACCTGTCTGGCAACAACATTCCTCCGCCACTCAGAGCAGCTGGCTGTCACTCGCAGCCCATTGTGGTTTTGTAAGGCGCAGACAAGGAACGTCAGCTGCTTCCCAGCAGGGCCCGTGAGTCACTTCGGCAGTTCTGAGCCCAGAGTTTCCCCTGTGGAGGCCAAAACCCTTGCCTCTCGGCCCAGCTTCTGTCCTGCGACCAAAGGTGGGTCTTCTGAGGCCTTTCTCTTTTTTTTTTTTTTTTTTTTTGAGACGGAGTCTCGCTCTGTCGCCCAGGCTGGAGTGCAGTGGCCGGATCTCAGCTCAGTGCAAGCTCCGCCTCCTGGGTTCACGCCATTCTCCTGCCTCAGCCTCCCGAGTAGCTGAGACTACAGGCGCCCGCCACCTCGCCCGGCTAGCTTTTTGTATTTTTTTTAGTAGAGACGGGGTTTCACCCTGTTAGTCAGGATGGTCTCGATCTCCTGACCTCGTGATCCGCCCGTCTCGGCCTCCCAAAGTGCTGGGATTACAGGCTTGAGCCACCGCGCCCGGCCTTTCTCAAGAGGAAGCCAGGAGGGGCAGGCCCCGGGATCCTGAAGACACACGGGAAGACAGATCCCACCGCACTTCCCTACTTCCTCAGCCTTCTGGGCTTGGGGCAAGGAGTGTCTTTTGGGTTGACACTTTTCAGGTCTCGGTTTTCTCACCTGTGAATGGGGATGTTGTGAGAACTTGATGAAGTTTTAGAAGTGACAGCACCCTCCCCTTTCCTCTCCCCAGCATCTCAGGTAGCAAGTCAAATGGTTCAGAGCCGCTGGTAAGAGGATTTGACCACATCCCTTCCTGTGGGTACGTGGATGGCCACTCATTAACATCAGGACCAAGGAGGCCTCAGGAGGAAAAGGGGCAGGACTTCTGAAAACCCTCACCCCAGGTGAAGTTCAAGAATGTAAAAGCCTGTTTGTAGCAGGGATGACCCAGCCAAGTTCATCCTCGAATGGACACCGGGGTCTCCGAGCAGCACTCGCCGCAGGGCACGGACTTAACCCCGGCGCCAAGCACTGCATGTGTGCCTGAGGTGGGGTAGTGGCAGGAAAGGAGTCTGGGGGTGTTTGGGGGTATGTATAGTGACTCAGAAGAACTTGGTGATCCCACGGACCCAGGCAACTTGGCCATGGGACAAGCCATGGCTGGGTGGAGTTGGCGGGGGGCAGACAGACATTTCCTCCCCTTCCCCCAGGCCCTGAGTGGAGTGTTTAGCAGGAATACCCACTTCACTTATGTTTTTGGAGCCTCCGTTTCCAACATCAGGTGCAGCAGCCGCATAGGGGCACCCCCAGTCTCCCTGGTGAGGGGACTCAGGCATCAGTGCTGGTCTTGGAGGGCATCCTGGTAGAAGAGTCAGGCCAGGCGTCGATGTGGTCCCAGCTCAGCCAGGTTGGGGGTGATGGGCAGAGAGTCTTGTAAGCAGCCCCTGCGGCTTTGGAAAATGCTTGGAGCAGATCCTAGAAAACACGTAGCGGTGGGGGGGTGCGGTGTGGATCTTGAAGCACAGAGATGTACCTGTGACCTTGAGCTAACAGAAGTAACCCAGAGCTACTCTGGTTGCAAATGAGCACAATTCTGCCTCCAGTCAGCCTCCCAGGACCCCCACAGCCTTGGGCACCATTTATCCAGGTGGCTTGTTTGCCACCGGGCTCTGTGCATTGCAGGACTGGTTTGGGCAGAGTTTGTTTCTGTGGATAGAGGCAGGGCTGCTGTGAGAAGTGAAAGGAGGCCACTCCAAGTCCCCAGCCACAACAGACTGCCAGCATCAGCCTCCAAAGATGGTATCACCCCAGCCAGGACAGGGCCAGGCCTGCGGGTTCTAGAGCATGTGCAGAACTTTGTTTCTGAAACTCCTTCCTATCCAAGGCTGGTTCCAGTTCTAGCCATACTTGAATTTTGCTGAGTTTGAGTATCTGCTGTGTGCTAGGTTTTGTAGTGGATAAAAGAAGGGCAATAATAGGCCAGGCATGGTGGCTCACACCTGTAATCCTAGCATTTTGGGAGGCCGAGGTGGGTGGATTGCTTGAGCTCAGGAGTTCAAGACCAGCCTGGGCAACATGGTGAAACCCCATCTCTACTAAAATACAAACACTTGGGTGTGTTGGTGCATGCCTGTAGTCCCAGCTACTTGGGAGGCTGAGGCAGAAGAACTGCTTGAATCTGGGAGGCAGAGGTTACAGTGAGCTGAGATCGCACCACTGCACTCCAGCCTGGGTGACAGCATCTGTCTCCAAAAAAACAAAAAAGAATGACAATAATGGTGGTAGTCCTAATGACAGTGACAGTTTCTTCATCTGTAACATGGGATAATTACAGTACCCGCCTCATATGTGCTGTGAGGATTAAACGGGATAGTAGCATATAGTACCTAGCACATAGTACGTGCTCAATAAATATTACCTGTTAATGAGGAAACTGAGGGTCAGAGAGGTTAAGGGCCTTACCCTAAGTCACACAGCATGGGAGTCTGAATCAGGGACCTCCAATCTAATGTAGGAGACTGACAGTCCCTCACAGTTGTGAATCCAGTGCTAGGTGAGCTAAGGGAAGGGGAGGTGGTCCTAGGGGACTTCTGACTAGGTATCAGGAGTCCCCACGGAGGAGGTGGTCCTTTCATTGAGCCTCACAGGTAAACAGCTGCAGGTGGAGATGTGGGGGTGGGGGCGGAGCATATGGAAAACTCAAGGACCAGAAAGAGGGTGCCTTGGGGGGTCAGTGGGAGAAAAGGCCAGGCAGGGCGGCTGCAGGCAGATGGTGAAGAGCTCTGAATGCATGCTGAGGAATGGCCCACAGTGACAAGGACCCCACTGACTGTGCCCTTGAGAGGCAGTGTGGTACAGTGGTTCAAGACCTGGACTCTGCAGCCAGCCTGCCCCAGTCAAATCTATAGCAGGGGGACAGTAGCGGGATGTACAGGAAGAATAAGCAGGGGTGACTGCACAGCTCTAACCCAGTGCCAGGGTAAATCCCTTCACCTCTGCCTACCTGTCTACCAGGGACTGTGTGGCTTTTATGTCCAGGAGAGCATGGGGTTCCGTCTTCAGGCTGTGACTCTGGAGATGCCTCGAGTCTCCTGAGTCCCCGGCTCTCTTCCCCCTGAAGGCATGTGCTACAGAGGCTGTGAGGATGCCAAGCCCACCTGCGTGATTAGTGCCCAGGTGCAGGGAGTTGCTGGACACATGCAGGATGCCAGGTGGGAGGTTTGCTTCAGAGCATAGGAAATCCTAATTATTGTCATGCAGGTACTCAGCAGGCATGTAGGTTTGACCCCAGGGCTGGGATTCTCAGAAGGTGGTTAGAGTCTCCATTTGTTCACTTAAGACAGGAGCATCCGGTGCCATTTGCCCCAGGAGGTGGGCGTGAAGAGCATAGGACAGGGAGGCGTGGAGGGGGTGGAGTGGCGTGGGGGCAGCGCGTGCTTTCTGGGTTATCTGGAGATTTAGACAGGGACACTGTGCCTCCAAGATCCTCTGAGTTCTCCTTTTCCTTTTTTTTTTTTTTAATTTATTTATTTTTTTTTATTTTGAGACAAGGCCTTGCTTTGTTGTCCAGGCTGGAGTGGAGTGGTGCAATCTTGGCTCACTGCAACCTCCTCCTCCCGGGTTCAAGCGATTCTCCTGCCTCAGCCTCCCGAGTAGCTAGGATCACAGGCGTGCACAACTACGCCTGACTAATTTTTGTATTTTTAGTAGAGATGGGGTTTCACCATGTTGAGCAGGCTGGTCTCAAACTCCTGACCTCAGGTGCTCCACTAGCTTCAGTCTCCCAAAATGTTGGGACTACAGGTGTGAGCCACTGCGCCCGGCCAGGTTCTCCTTTTTCAACAGTAAGTTGCCCAAACAGTACAAGTGGAATGAGCTCCAGCCTCTTATTGGCCAGTTTAGCTAACCTCATGATGGATCCCTTGCACCTGTGCCCCTGGCTCAGCGTTAGGTCTAGGCTGGGGTTACCTCTTGGGCAGCGGCATCTGCCTGTGCCCCCGATTGCCAAGCAGACATGGCCGGACCAGTTGGTGGGGGCCCCTCACGAGCAGCAGGTGTTCCTTACTTACACTTTCTGGAGTGTTAAGATGTTTCTAGGCAACTGAGAGCACCCTGGCCAGCCCGGTGTTTCGGTGTTTCCAGTCCAGGCTTTGTTTCCAGGCCCTCCCTGTCTGAGCAACACCTCACCTCACCCTGACTCACAGGGTCTCTCCCGCTCCGCCTCCAGCAGTTTTCTTGCCACCCTCCCCGCATTCCTCCAGGTCCACACACACCTGCCCTTTGATTCATGGTTCTTTCCTCTCTGAGGAGAGCAAGCACCAGAGGCCAGGGCCCCATCACCTTCGGTCAGCAGCTGGGGCCACCGCCTGCCACTGGGTGTCTTCACACACACCTTTCCTGGGCTCTGGAGGGAGGCTGCTTAGAGGGGGATGATTGGAGAGGGCCTGAATGCTGAGGGCCCTATTCCAGAAGGCAAATCTCAAAGGCAGCTCTGGCCTTTTTTTTTTTTTTTTTAAGAGATGGGGTCTCGCTCCGTCACCTAGGCTGCACTGCAGTGGTGTGATCATAGCTCACTACAGCCTTGAACTCCCGGGCTCAAGTCATTCTCTGGCCTCAATCTTTTTTTTTTTTTTTTTTTTTTTTTTTGAGACGGAGTCTCACTGTCACCCAGGCTAGAGCGCAGTGGCACAATCACAATCTCGGCTCACTGCAACCTATACCTCCCAGGTTCAACTGATTCTCCACAGCCTCCTAAGTAGCTGGGTTTACAAGCATGTGCCATCATGCCCGGCTAATTTTTGCATTTTTAGTAGAGACAGGGTTTCACCATGTTGGCCAGGCTGGTCTTGAACTCCTGACCTTAAATGATCCATCTGTCTCAGCCCCTCAAAGTGGTGGGATTACAGGCGTGAGTCACTCCGCTTGGCCCCACACCTCAGTCTTCTAAGTAGCTGGGACCATAGGTATGCACCACCATGCCCAGCTAATTTTTAAATGTTTTTGTAGAAATGGGGTCTTGCCATGTTGCCCAGGCTGGTCTCAAACTCCTGACCTCAAGTGATCCTCCCTGCTCTGCCTCCCAAACTGCTGGGATTACAGGCTGAGCCATCACACTTGGCCTGACCTCTGAGTAGGTCTCTCTCTCTCCTGTCCTCCTTCCCTCCTTCCTCCTTTCTCTCTTAAACGGCTTTATTGAGATATAATTATCATACCACAACATTCACCTGTTTAAAGTGTACAATCCAATTGTTTTTAGTATATTCACAGAGTTGTACAACTGTCACCATAATCTAACTTTAGGACATTTTATCACGCCCCAAAGAAGCCCCATTCATAGTCACTCCTCATTCTCCCTCCCACCTCCCAGGACCTGGCAACCACTCAATTATTTTCTTTCCATGGAGTTCCTTGGTGATGCAACTGAACAGTGAAGCCAGTCCCAGGTGGCTGAGGTGGGATAGTCCTGCCCTTGGATCAGGCTTTCAGCAAGCAGAATCCCAGAGTGGGCCATCCAGCTGGCCCACTCACTTCCTCGTGGCTGTAGCCCTGAGAAGGTCACCAGTCTTCATGTACCCAGGGAGGGGCATGAGACCCAGAACAGGGAGGAAATCTGACCAAGGTCACATCGTGCGTAGAGGACACAGCTCCTGCTGGCAGTACCCACCATCTCCGGCACTCCAAGCTGCCTTCCCATAGCAGCCCCTACACATCCATGGGCCTCCTGCTGGCCTCAGTCCCTCCATCTGTACAATGGGAATAATAACACCTACCACACATGTTGCAGGGATTGAATGAAAGCAAAGGCAATCCTGTGTGTAAAGAGTTTTTCCCGGTGCCTGGCATGAAGCTGTCCCTCAGCCCCTTGCTGAAGTTTAATTAGATTAAATTCCCATCCTGGCATTCAGGGCCCTGCACGTTCTGGTTGTCTAGGGTGGATGGAAGTTTGTCCCTCCCCTAGAAGGTGGCAGATGGAAGCCACTGGAACCACAGGATGCTTGCTGCTTCCTCTCGGTCACCTGGAAGCTGGTGGTGTCGGCGGGGCAGGCGAGAGGTTGACACTAGTGGCGATGACTCAGCACAGAGAGCTGTGGGAGTCTGGTTAATCAGCAGCGTCAAAACTTCCTGTTGCTGTTTGCAAACAAGGGCCACCCCCGGAGGAGAAGGACCAGAGCTAGGGGAAAGGCTGCGCGTCACAGAACCTCAGCAAAGCAATGCTACAGTCTAAAGGCAGCAGCAGCAGTGGTGCTAAGAGTTCAGCACGTGGTCAGGGGCTGTGGCTATGGCTTTCCAGGAGCATGTGGCTTCACTTATGGCCCCTGTCCCCATCTCCCTACCCAGGAGAAAAATTTTTTTTTTCTCCAGCAGTAGCTGATTGACTTATTGCAAAGGAGCCCCAATGAAGTGCCAGGGTGTGAGAGCAGGAATCACGGTGGTGGCACCTGATGAGACTCATCTGTCTAGGATGGGCCAGAGTGTTGAACCGCAGGGTACCGAGGCATTCCAGGACCCACCTCGGAAGATCTTTGGTGGCTTAAGAGCAGGCAGGGATTGGGAGCACTGAGACAGTGCTCTCAGCCCCACCTGGCCTGGCCCAGCAGACAGAAACACTCCCAGCCTGAGCACCTGGCAGAAGAACCAGATACGCCCCTCTGGTGACAGCCATCGCTCAGATATCTTTATACATGCCTCATGCCTCCCAGGAGAACCAGCCAGGGCAAGAATTCCAGATCCGAGAGAAAAACTGTAAATTAGCGTGAAGAGTAGTTCTCGTCAAAAAATGCTGCCAACAGTGTAAATTTGGTACAGGCCTTCTGAGGGGCAATCTGGCAACATGTTTAGAAAGCGAAAAAAAAAATGCTCAGACTCTTTATTCAGAAAGATTTTTTATGAAATTGACAACCTCTCTTCTCCCTTCCCACCCCACACCAGGGAATGAACGGGCTGTGTGGGTGGCAATGGTGACAGCAATGCTGTTTATAAAAGTGACAAAAATGGGAGCTACTCAAATATCAGATCCTATGGAATGGCCAGCTCAGTCAGGGCACAGGCTTTCAGTGGAATATTATGCAGCCATTTAAAATAGTTTTTTGCTGGGTGCAGTGGCTCACAGCTGTCGTTCCAGTACACGGGAGGCTGAGGTGGGAGGATCGCTTCAGCTCAGGAGTTTAAGGCTGCAGTAAGCTCTGATCATGCCACCTCACTCCAGCCTGGGTGAGAGAGCGAGACCCCAAATCTAAATAAGTGAATAAATAAAATACTTCTCAGCCATTTTTATTGAGTGCTAGGTGTGCCCCAGACACCGGAACCTCCATTCTGAATGTGATCTTGGCCTTATCCGATGATGTCTGTACTTCAGAAAAATGCAGGCCTTAGGAGGAAAAAGTGACATGGAAAATGCTTATTATAATAATTTTAAAAAACTTTAGAGATGGGGGTCTTGCTATGTTGCCCAGGCTGACCTCAAACTCCTGGGCTTAAGTGATCCTCCCACCTCTGCCTTCCAAGAAGCTGGGCCACAGGCGTGAGCTACCATGCCCAGCACTTACATGATTCAAAGTAAGAAAAGGCAGAGTAAAAAATTCTATCCAGTCTTTGCCTCCCACTATAACTGCAGCTTGTGTTTGCAGAAACGCCAATTGTGTGCCAGATGCTGGGCTGAGGGTGCTATGTGCTTGCTCTAATTTACATCTCACCATAACTCAATGGGTTAGACACTACCCCTACTCTCATTTTCACAGGGGGAAACTGAGGCACAGAGGAAGTGACTGAGCCAGTGACTGAGCTCAAACCCAGGTCTACCTGGCCCCAGAACCACCTTTAGCCGCTCCTCTATACTGTCATCTCCTTAACACAGAAATGACATCAGCTCATGGTCAGATACTGGAAGGAAAAATCTGGACCAATGACAATAAGTGAAGGGTGGTTTTTGTGTTTTCCCTCTCTCTCTTGATTTCATTAGATTTGTCCAGAAAAAAAAATTTAAGTTCAAAACCAAAAACTGCCACCTAGAATTTGCAGCAGGTGGGGAGAAGTGAATGAGGAAGTGGGGAAAAATGGGAAGGATGTTAATAACGCATGTGCTGGCTTAGAACCCGGAGCTAGAACAATTTAGGAGCAAGGAGAAAAGCGGCAGACCACTTAGTGAGGAGGAGCCCGGAGGCTTCTGGAGGATGGTGACAGGATCCTCGGGCTGGGAGGCGGGCCTGGGGCGGGGCTTATTTGGCCCGTGCTACTCTCAGGGCGGTTATTGCTAAATCTTTTTATTACCTGGTGCTTACGTCCATTATCTCCTCAATGTTTGCATTCCTCTCATTTTTTTTAGACTACAGGAAATGATAAAGGGGAAAAAAACCCACAAAGCCTCGGTTTGCTTTTAGCCTTGGAGTGCTAGGAGGGAGGGAATCTCCGCCAAATTCTTCCTTGAGTCATAAAGAGGTTTTAGGTTCCCGTAAACTGAGAGTTAGGGGAGCACTGTCGAGTTCAGTCATTTTGGCCAATGCAGAAAGGCAGCTACCATTTGGATATTTTAAAGCAAGGTGGTTTTCTTTTTATTTTCTAGTCCCCTTAGAAGGTTTTTTTTTCCCCCTCCCTTCCTCTCTCTTTCTCTCTTTCTTTTCTTTCTTGTTTTGAGACAGGATCTTGCTCTGCTGCCCAGGCTGGAGTACAGTGACATGATCATAGCTCACTGCAGCCTCAAACTCCTGGGCCCAAGCCATCCTCCCACCTCAGCCTCCCGAGTAGCTGGGACCACAGGCCGGTGCCACCGCGCCTGGCTAGTTGTTTTGTAGAGACAGGGTCTCTATATTGTTCAGGCTGGTCTAGAACTCCTGGCCTCAAGCAATCCTCCTGTCTCATGAGCCATTGTGCCTGGCCTGCAAGGTGATTTTCTTGGGGGAAAGATTGCCTTGGTTCTCTGAAAATGGGAGAACTGTTTTCCCCTGTTAATACAGTTTCTAGAAAGGAAGGGAACACAGGGAGCAGGAAGGCGAGAGGGAGATAAAAGAGTGAGAAAAGTACCATTTGTTTAAGTATCACTTGAACACCTACTGCCTGCTGAGCTGGGTCTAGAGTAGACAAGGATGAGAGGAATTTACAGTCCAGTCAAGGGTCATCCAAGACCACCACCTCTCCATGCCCACTGAGGAGCCTGGCTTCCTGAGAGCTTGCAGCTGTGAGCCTTGTGCCAGACCCCTTGAGGTGCTCAGGTTGAGTCACGTGCCCAAGACCTGCAGTTGGTGACATGCAAAGCTGGAAACCAAATTCATGCTTGTGGGGCTGGGTGCAGGGCCACCATGCTCTTCGCCTCCACGAGCTCCTCCACAGGGTGTGTGTGTGTGTGTATATGTGTGTGTGTGTTTGACAGAGTCTTGCTCTGTTGCCCAGGCTGGGTGCAGTGGCATGATCTTTGCTCACTGCAACCTCCACCTCCTGGGTTCAAGCAATTCTCCTGCCTCAGCCTCCTGAGTAGCTGGGATTACAGGCACCGGCCAGCACATCCGGGTAATTTTTGTGTTTTTAATAGAGATGGGTTTTCGCCATGTTGGCCAGGCTGGTCTCTTAACTCCTGACCTCAGGTGATCGCCCGCCTCAGCCTCCCAAAGTGCTGGGATTACAGGCATGAGCCACCGCATCCAGCCTCCTCCGCAGTTCTTTCTGAGATGCTCATGATGAATGATTTCAGAGGTATTGGAAGATTGGAAGATGCGGATTCAAAAAAGCAGCTAATTGGGTCAGGATTACTTAATATGCGGCTCACTCCAGAATGAGTTTCTCCAACTTCAATAAATGTTCTGTTACCCAGAAGCATGAGAGGACACACTTTTCACAGCTGCAGGGCACTCCTTCCTGACCACATGGAAATAATTGCTAAGGAGCCTTCTCTTACTTCCTTTTGGTAGGAATTATCATTACTTTACATGGGAAGAAAGTCTGTTTGGGTACATTTCATGCACCTGTTCTTCCCTTCTGAATTCTACAGGATCTATGGATTTATTCAATGAGCACGTCTGTGATACCAGGCCCTGAGCTGGGGTCAGCTGAGGCTTTCCCTGTGATCAAGTCAGGAAAGGGTCCTGTCCTGAAGGAGCAGATGTTATAGACAGGAATGCCATCATGATCCAGGGTCAGGGATGCTGCAGGGGGTGGGTTGGGCCCAACTGCTGGTGCCTGGGAGGGTCAAGGAAGGTGACCTCTAAGATTGACGGAGGGACAAGCAGGTATGGAATTGACCAGGGAAGGGTTAGTGGAGGCAGATGAGAATGGGGTGAAGGAGAGGGGCTTTCCAGGCAGCGAGGACATTTGCAAAGGCTCGGAGAAGACTTGATCTCAGGTTAAATCATTTAAAATGGGAAAATCATGTAAATCTTATCTGTGCTTTACTCTGGGTTGCTATGAGAATCAGATTAAACACAATCTGGCTTTTCATTCCCCTTCTTTCCTTTCTTTTGGGGAGCAGAACTCTCAGGCTCTTGGCCACTTCTCTGACGAATACCTGAGCAGTAAGGGGTTTCGGGCCCTTTGAACACAAAGACGGGCCAGGTGTGGTGGCTCACGCTTGTAATCCGAGCACTTTGGGAGGCTGAGGCGGGCAGATCACCTGAGGTCAGGAGTTCAAGATCAGCCTGGCCAACATGGCAAAACCCTGTCTCTACGAAAAATACAAAAATTAGCCGAGCGTGGTGGCGCATGCCTGTGATCCCAGCCACTCAGGAGGCTGAGGCAGGAGAATCGCTTGAACCCAGGAGGCAGAGATTTCAGTGAGCTGAGATTGCGCCACTGCACTCCAGCCTGGGTGACAGAGTAGAGACCCTGTTTCAAACCACAACAACAACAACAAAAAAGTCTATGGACATACCACCGTGAACGCACCTGATCTTGTCTGAACACAAAGATGGCACTGCTAGGCCCTGCCTGGGGATGGGGTGGATGTGGGTGTGGAATTACAGTGTTCTGGATACTGTCTTTTGTCTGGCCTTCCCTGAGACAGCTGTGCCTCTGCCAGAGGTAGGCAGGAAGGGTTAAGGCTGAGGCTGAACCCAAGAGTCCTCCCTCAAGGGTTTAGGACTTCAGTGTTGGGATGGCTAGATTTCAGCAAAATTTCCACCTTCCCTGCGGCCAGGAAAGTTGGCAGCCTCCTATGTAAATCATCAGTGAAGTTTCTGGGTTAGAAATGACCTTGGAGTCGGTATGTAGTTCCTGGTGACATTGTACATTCTTAAATTCCAACAACTGGGATGGGCATGGTATGGTGTGGCTCATGCAAATAATCCCAGCACTTTGGGAGGCTGAAGCAGAATGATCGCTTGAGGCTAAGATTCTGAGACCAGCCAGGGCGACAGAGCTAGACCCGGACTCCACACAATATTTTTTTTTAAAAATTGAGTCATGCCGGGTACGGTGGCTCATGCCTTCAATCCCAACACTTTGGGAGACCGAGGCGGGCGGATCACTTGAGGTCAGCAGTTTGAGACCAGCCTGGCCAGCATGGTGAAGCCCTGTCTCTACCAAAAATATAAAATATTAGCTGGGTGTGGTGGCCTGTGCCTGTAATCCCACTGCACTCCAGCTTGGATGACAGAGCGAGACTCCGTCTCAAAAAAAAAAAAAAAAAAAAAAAAAAAAAAAAAAAAAAAAAAAAAAAAAAAAAAAAAAATTGCAGGCACAGTAATTCACATCTTCACATCTGTAATCCCAGGACTTTGGAAAGCCGAGGTAGAAGGATCCCTTGAGCCCAGGAGTTCGAGACCAGCCTGGGCAACGTAGTGAGACATCCCCGTCTCTACTAAAAAAAAAAAAAAGAAAAAAAAAAATTAGCTAGGCACAGTGGTGTGTGCCTGTAGTCCCAGCTACTCAGGAGGCTAAGGTGGGAGGATCACTTGATCCCGGGAGTTCGGGGCTATAGTGAGCTATGATGCATTACTGCACTCCAGCCTGGGCAACAGATCAAGATCTTGTCTCAAAAATGCAACAACGATGAAACAAATAGTTTTTACATTTCAAATCAGAGTTTTGCTAGAATTCCAAAAATACAACTTCCTTACACTTCAATTTTCTTTTTCCTTCGCTGGTGCTTTGATCTTAATAAGTTGTTATACCCATATGCATCTGATAGTACTGTGTGAGTACCTATTGTACTCATAGCTCTATCACACACTGCATTTGTGAACAGACTTTCGGAGGCTCACTTTCCTTTCCTGAAACATGGGAATACGATGGTACTGGTGTTCATAGGGTGTTCAGGGTTAAATGGGATTTTGTTTATAAAGAGCTTAGTGCCGTGCCTGACACAGTGTTAGCTTCAATAATGGCATCTATTATGTACACAGAAAAAAAAAGATTTCTAAGTGTTGGCAGCATTTATCTCCAGTGGGTGGGATATGGTTACAACGAACATCTATTACTTTTGTAATCAAAGCAAAAGAACAACAAATGTTATTATTAATTTAAAAATCTGGCTTTGGCTTTGGTGGGAAGGACCTACAGTTCATGTCAATGTACTCAATCCCTGAGTAAGAAAAAACCTCCTGTTTTGAACCAGGACTTTAAAGACAAACATTCTGCCCTCCCTCCTCCCCCATCAACTCACTGTAATCAAGGGAGTTAGATACTAAATCCGAATTCTAGAGACATTTTGCCTTCATCCACCCTTGCAGTCCCCTGGATCACTGCTGTTTGGAGGGCAGGCAGGGGAATTCAGAGATCTTAACTCCCCAAATAAGGCTTTCTCTCCCATTGGAAGGGTTCTTCGGTGTGGTGTTCAGCTGGAAATCCAACTCTCTAGAGAATGATTCCAGGAGCATGACATTCACCCTCTATCAGGCCTTCACTGAGGAATCTCAGTTGGCAAATAAAGCATGCACTAGGCTGCTTCCAGCTGGGGGACTGTGACTGTCCTGCTCTGGTGTCCAGAACAAACTGAGGCCCAGGCCCTTGGCTCCGTCTCTGGTTGAGATTCTTGACTGGCAGCCCAGCGCCTGGGCAGCAGTGGGAGCTCCCACCTGGAGCTGCCCGACCCCCTCCAGTCCTCTCCTTGATCTTCTTGCGCAATCCCCTGACAAGCAGGGAGGGGCAGAGTACCCACCCTCCTGGGATTATCTGCAGAACCATCAGCCTGCACAGGCTGGCTTCAGAGTGACTTGCTTTCTCCTCTTCCGCACCCGGGGGTGTGTGTGGGGTGTGTGTGTGGAGGGTGAGGGAGAATATTGCTGCTGGCTCTGGAATAAAATGCTGCCTCTGTTTGGGAGACAAAGAACAGAGTGGCTCCTCCGGGTCAGCTGTCTCTCCAGGCTGGCAGGCCCCTGGCCTCCCCCAGGCCTCTTCTGAGGCTCCAGGCCCCCCAGGAGCAGGGCCTTCTGCAGCCAGGCTGGGAACTGCTGCACCATTGGTGTGTTTTCACTGGAACCTGACGGAATGTTTTACCTTAAGAGACCCCACGCAGCTTCCTTGCTGGGAAGATATTCATTTGCTGGGGTGGGGCTGGGGGTGCAGAGGTAGGAAGTGCTGTGGCTGGGAGGCTGCCTGGCCAGCGAGTAGGTGGTGGAGCGAGTGAGGGGGTGTGCGCTGTAAAACAGGGTGAGTGCATGTGCGCCAGCGTGTGCAAGGACATGGTAAGGGGTGTACATCTACTGTCTCGTGAATAAGAGCTTGTGTGTGTGTTGGGATGGGAAGACACGTACTGGTATGAGAGCCCGCATGAGACGTGTATGTGTGAGTATTCGCGTGGAAGTTTTGCACTCGGGTTTGAGGCTGTGCAGAAGTACGCATGGCTCACCAGGTGTGGGGCTGTGTGGGCTGCCTCGTGTGAGCCAGCCCATGCGCAGGCATGTTTTGTGAGAGCCTTCAGAGAACGCATGAGCACGTGTGCCAGTGCGAGTGCGGGACGCGGGGAGGCGGGAGAGCCCAAGTGGG